TAAGCACAGCCCTCGGCTAGCCTGAGGCAGCAGCTCCACGCTCTAAGTCTTCATCTGATGCCCTGCCGGCACTGCTTCCGGCCGTCCTTAACCCCGGTTCAGGGTCCACTTAATGTGGACATGCTAGTTCGAATTAGCAAAACGCTAATTCGAACTAGTTTTTTAGTCTGGATCCGTTAGTTCGAATTAGCTTAGTTCGAATTAGCGCTGTAGTGTAGACATACCCTTAGTTATCCTTAAGCCCGGTTCAGGGTCCACTTAATGTGGACATGCTAGTTCGAATTAGCAAAACGCTAATTCGAACTAGTTTTTTAGTCTGGATCCGTTAGTTCGAATTAGCTTAGTTCGAATTAGCGCTGTAGTGTAGACATACCCTTAGTTCTCACGTGTTGTGTTTTATTTTTGCAAGTCTCTTCACTTCCAGTTTCCATTCTGGTCTGGAAGAAATTGCAGATTAGGAAGAGTTTATTGCTGGTGAGATTTTTTTGTACAATGCTGCAGACCCAAGTAGAAGAAATGAAGTATAAAGAAACATCTGAGCATCTGAGTGTTTATTTGAACCTTTTGTGACTTGTTTTGCACTATCAAGACTCATTAAGAAGAGGAAGTGAAAAACTTTTAAATTTATTTCCCATAGGTGTCACCATATGCCTTTAAAATATGACTAAATATATAAAAGAAGGGCCAAGATTCTCTAATCCCTTGCAATTGCACAAAGTTTACAGTGTTAGATAAACCCATCCAATCCTAAATTATCTCTGCTCAATGCTCAAAAGGAGGAGAGAAAAAAAACAACAGATAAGCTCCCTGCCAATATTATTCTCGTGCGCGTGCTCATGTCTTTGTTACTATGTCTGCTTTCTTGCATGCAACATAGTGATCTCTGCAAAATTCCTGAATGTAAATTATACTAAAAATAAATAATTCAGGATGCATTGCAAGAAGAAAAATTATAATTACTATGCAAATAGCGTGTCTTTGCAGCAAACCCTTTATGATATAGTCAAGCACTGGCATACGAAAAAGTTAATTTTAGCCATATAAATATTCAAAACAAACATGAATCAAGGTCAGTTTTGATTATCTTAGCCTCTTTTCCCTCTTCCCAATTCTAGGCTTAAATCTAGGCGCATGCTTAAATGATTTTCTGCTTCTGAGCCCTCTTGCAGAAAGTAATTTTGGCGTTATTTGATCGTAATTACTCATTATTATTAGTAGGCTATATAACATTTTTTCTGGGGTAATTTGGTCTTTTTAAAATTTTGATGTTCCATAGATCTTTGTTCTTTGAAGCTGCTAATGAATGAGGCATGAATTCCTCTTTTTAAATAAGTCTTAACTTGTGTTTATGATTATGCACATGCCTAGAAGTTTCTTCCTGAACTGACCCATCTAATTTATGTTAGATGATTACAGAACATCATGATCCTATGTTTATGAAGGCAAGGCAGATAAGATTTCCTGACTTTTTTCATTTTACAATAGGTAACTCTCACCACTGGAATTTGAGTCTGCAAGATTTGTTACTCTTACAAATCATTTTCATTCATTCAGGAACCCTCATAGAAGCTTGTTGCAATTTTGATCATCAGGGCCTGATTGACTGGTGATTAGTTCCAGTTTTATGCCAGTGTAGTTCCCTAAAAACTATAAGATGTTAGAATGGTTTCCCAAGAGATTCATGGATGGCGAGGGGGGAGGGGAAGGAGAAGAGGAGGAATATTCTGTAGACCTAGCTCCACATTTTCAATAAGTTGACTTGTGGGATTTCCTGTTCATTTTTGATATGCATGACAGTTAAAAGCTAGAAGTTAAAAAGGTAAGAGTATGTTTGTCTCCCTTTCATCTCTAAGTCTGAGAGTCCAAGATTTCTCAGATAGTAACAGTTTTTAATGGGAATCAATTCCTCAATTGCTAATTGAGCCTGCCTGGACCTGCCTGTTGGAAGGATGGCCTATCTCTTTGTGATTCACTGGCCCAACTCTAGTGGTACTTGAGCTGATCCCTCATTATTATTTTTTTTTAAAAAGGGGTTTGCTGGCAGGGCTCTGGGACTCTGGAACCTGCTCCTCAACTTCATCCTGGACAGGCCAGCTGCAAACATCATCTATTTGATAGTTTTTTAAAAAGAAAAAACAGTCTATATTTCCTGCAACAACAAGGAACTTCTGCCTGCCATGCACTTAAAAAAAAATCCTATCTGACTTCACAAAAATACCATGAGCTTTGATAAGCATGTCTTAATTATTTAAATCAAGAGAGCTGTTTTCACTTGAGAACTATTGTATGGAATTTCAAGAGAGGCCATAAGAGCTAAACACACAAATCCCGGGAGTTTGGTAACTAATACCCTTGGACTTCTTAGAAAACCCTAATTTACATTGTTGTTTAGATATTACCAAAAGCATGCTAAGCACCTTCCAGATAAGTGTGAAGACAAAGCATTTTCCCTGAAAAACTTAAAATCCAAACAAAGAACATATGGGGGAGAAGTGGCATGTGACAAAGTGGTGCTGTTTGCCACATATACTGAAGTTCTACTTTAATTTTATTTAATGTTACACTTTATGAAAGGAGGATGAGCATTTGTAAATGTCATGGAAGAAACATGGTTACAAAGGACTTGTAGGGGTGGAT